TGCTCGTGGCGATGCCGGTCCCCCGGGCCGTGCCGGTGACCCCGGTCTCCAAGGCCCCGCTGGCCCCCCTGGCGAGAAAGGCGAACCCGGCGAGGATGGCCCTGCGGTATGTTTTTTGGGGGAGGACCTTGTTCTGTGCTCATTTGGTGCCGCGCCGCCACTCCACCGGGTCTGATCCCCCACCTCTGCCTCCCCGCAGGGTCCTGACGGTCCCCCCGGTCCCCAAGGTTTGGCAGGACAACGTGGCATCGTCGGTCTTCCTGGCCAGCGTGGTGAGAGAGGCTTCCCCGGGCTGCCGGGGCCATCGGTGAGTTGTCACCCCACCATGGGCCCCATGGGCTCACCCCCCCCCCGTGCCCGGCAGCGGCATCGTCCCCCCAATAGCTGTCAGAGCGGCTGAGTTTGGCTTTCCCGACCTCAGCACTGTGAATTTGGGTGCTTTGAAGCCTGCAGCGAGCTGGTCACGGGGCCGGTAGCCCCCCTCGGGCACAGGTCGAGCACCCCTGGGACCCCCCCCAATCCTGGGTGCACTTTGGGGTTTTGCAACCAGGAGCTGCCGGTGGCATCGGGGCAGGGCAGTGACCGATGCTTATTTGGGCAGAGGGGTCTGACAGCCTTAAAACGGGATGATCGCTGGGTGAAGGGCTGCGCTGGGAGCTCTCCTGCTCATGTGTGTTGTCTCATGGCTTTTTTTTTTTTTTCCTTTTATTAGGGCGAACCTGGGAAACAAGGAGCACCCGGCTCTGCGGGCGACCGAGGGCCCCCCGGCCCCGTGGGTCCCCCCGGTCTGACGGGTCCCGCCGGCGAACCTGGGCGCGAGGTAGGCAGCACCCCAGCGCACGGGGAGGGGGCGAAGCAGGACGGTGCCTCCATCCGTGCCGGGCTCAGGATCATCCCGATGTAACCCCAACGGCGGCACTGGACTAGCTGATCCTGCACCATAACTCAGCTCCCGGCACCTCTTTGCCGGTGGTTTTTGCCCCAAAAGGGGAGTTTGCGTACATCCTGCTCCATCCCAAGGTCAAGACTTAATTTCTCCTCTCCTCCCAGGGTAACCCTGGCTCTGATGGACCCCCCGGCAGAGACGGCGCAGCCGGCGTGAAGGTGAGTTTGCCCATGCGCTTCCCCCAGCGCTCGCTACCCACATGCCCTCTCGCCCCGGCTGAAAACCCCGCGGGTCTGACCATCATCCCCTTGTCTCGGCGCAGGGTGATCGTGGTGAGACCGGTCCTGTGGGTGCCCCCGGCGCTCCTGGTGCCCCTGGTGCTCCCGGCCCCGTCGGTCCCACCGGCAAACAAGGAGACAGAGGCGAGACGGTGAGTAGCGGCACATCGGCGAGGGAAACGGCTCGTTGGGTTTGAGGTCTTGTTACGGGAGACGGGAACCACCCTGAGCGCAGATAAATGAAGAAACAGCAGCGCCTCCCCGGGAGCAATTAGCTACTCGGAGTAATTGGGAGAGCCAGGCGGGTGCCGTTAGCGGATGTCACTAATTCGGCGGTGCCCCGAGTGCCATTAGTGTCTCTGAGCATCTTCCCAAGGATTCATGAGCACCAAGAGCCCACTTCGGGCTCTGCCTCCGCACAAGCACTGCCCGGGGAGCTGTAAGCGCCGGGAGGCTTAACCGGGGAAAATCTGCCAGGGTATTTATTTGCAAGGATCGTTACTCAGCGCTGATGCTCCAGCTGAGAGTATTTAAAGATGCCATTCGGTGCAGGCAGCCGCCGATTCCCGGTGCTGTGAACAGGGCAGCTCGGGGGCTGGTTCGGCCCCCCCGCCAAAGGCACAGGGCACCCCCGGCATCCCGCGCTCCTGTCCCCTTTCGACTCTTCTCTTTTCTCTCCCCAGGGTGCACAAGGTCCCATGGGTCCCTCCGGTCCTGCTGGCGCTCGAGGCATGCCGGTGAGTGAAGCCGGGATCATCGGGGCATCCCATGTGCAATGCACGGGGTTCTGGGGGGCGTTGGGTGGGGGTCTGCCACCCTGAGCCTGGCACGTCCCCTTCTCCCCTTCCAGGGTCCTCAAGGGCCTCGCGGTGACAAGGGTGAGACGGGAGAGGCTGGAGAGAGAGGGCTGAAGGGCCACCGTGGCTTCACCGGGCTGCAGGGTCTTCCTGGACCACCCGTAAGTGTTGCTTTCGGGACCCCAGCACTCGGCCCCATCACGTCTCACCACGGAGCTGGATGTGGCTCCTTCAGGGTGGCTGCGGCCACCGACGGGGCTCCAAGCCCGTGCAAAGGCACTGCTGGGGCTGAGCGCCCCTCGGTGCTGGAGGAGGAGCTGTAACCATCCACCCTCACGTCCTCCTCAGGGTCCTTCTGGAGACCAAGGTGCTGCTGGTCCCGCGGGTCCCTCCGGTCCCAGGGTAAGTCCTGCACGTGGCATTTGGGGACATGAAAGGAAAAAGAGGCTCCGTCCTTGAGCCCCCCCCCCGGGTCGCCTGCCTCGCTCGATGACGGCAGGAGCTAACACCTTCCCTGCCCTGTGGTCTTGCAATGTCCTGACCTCCCCCTCCTTCGGGGTTCTCTCGTAGGGTCCCCCCGGCCCCGTCGGCCCCTCTGGCAAAGACGGCTCCAACGGCATGCCCGGCCCCATCGGTCCCCCCGGCCCCCGCGGACGAAGCGGCGAACCAGGTCCTGCGGTGAGTTAAAAATGCCATCAGAGGCAGGGAAAGGGGGTCCAGCTCACGGAGCAGCCCATCAGGATTGCATCTTCTTCCTCCCATAGGGTCCTCCTGGAAACCCAGGTCCCCCCGGTCCTCCCGGCCCCCCAGGCACCGGCATCGACATGTCAGCTTTCGCTGGCTTGGGTCAGACGGAGAAGGGTCCTGACCCCATCCGATACATGCGAGCGGACGAGGCCGCG